CCTCCTTGCACACAACTTGAGGAATGTGACAGTTGATGATGAGAATTCATTGCTCAACATAATGTGTGTTCTTGTTTTAAAAGAGCCGAGGTGTTGGGAGGGCGCAGCGCCCCATTTGCCAACCATTGAGGAATATGGCACTTCTTGAAGGCTCACTACTAGACACGAACATATGCTTAAACAGAGCAGGGGGTTTGGGGCGGGGGCGCAGCCCCCATCTGCAAACCATCAAGGGACGTAGAAGTTGTTGATGAGGATGCACTCCTAGACTTGATGCGGCTTCATGATCAAAAAAACAGGGTGGTGGGGGCGCGCAGCTCCAACCATTTTCCACTTGCAAGCCAAAGAGGAATGTCGAGTTATTGGTAGGGATGCATTATTGGACGTGATGCGGTTCATGTGTAAAGAGCAAGAAGGGTGAGAGAGGGTGCAGCCCCATTGAGGAATGTGGCAGTTGTTGATGAGGATTCACCATTAGACAGATTATTCCTTGCTGGAAAATGACGCAGGTGATAGATAATCATGAAGTTCATAACAGTTAAATCAGGAACATGATGAACAACAGAAAAATGATGGAACTCATCTTTAAAGCATGGTGACAAGGTGATGACACTTGATGACGCATGTAAATGATGAAACATGCTGCAACACTGTTAGGTATGACCAAAGACGGGAATTGATGAACACACATGAATATGTTAAGAATAATGAAAATGGCGACAAACGATGGAAACTGTTGAAACATGGTGAGAATGAAGAAAACCATATGAAACATACAGTGAAAACCATGAATAATGATGCACAATGACGTCCGTTAATGTGATCATGACAAACCATGAAAACGGATGGACACATATTCAAATAATGCTAATGATGCAAAACATCATTTTGCACTGTTTCTATGACGTAAAATGACAGCGCGTGATGACACATGCATGAAAAGTTGGTGATGAACATGATAAGCTGTGACGAAATTGAAATGCGACTAAAGCGAAATCGGTAGAGCAACTACAATAGAATATTACGACATATGATGAAACTTGTCCGAGAATGATGGAACATGATTGATTTTCTTTCTTCCTTTCTCCCTCGCTCGGGTTGTCCTTACCTGTGTTCTGATGTTTTGGCGGCGCCGGAGAACTGTTCCCTTGATTCCTCTTTAGGAAAATTTGTTGTTGTTGTTGTTGTTGCTGTTGTTGTTGTTGTTGTTGTGATGATATCTTTTTTGTTTTTCTTGATCCTTGATTGATCTTTTGATCCATGTCCCAGCCACGCGGGTGACTTGTGCGTATGTTCGCAAGATCATGACAAAAAGAGACACTGCCGTAGATGCAGTCATGCAACAAGGGAAAGCCCTACTCACAGTCTACAAGCTTGCCCTTGCCCATTGAAGTCAAAATCCGCAGACGCGCTCCACGTCGTTGTGAGCGCTTTGCGTGGAAGCAACGCAGCGGATCTGCAACCTTATTCAGTCAAATTCGAAGTTGTGCTTATGAAAATGATGGGTTCCTTGTCCCGTAGCTTCGAAAAAAAGGACTGCGCATTTGGCCATAAAAAAAGAATGATGCATTCCTAGTGGCGCCGACCTCCTCGCGATGATCCTCTCCTGCGACGTCAGATTGCATAAGGGCAGCCTGAGCCGGAAGCTCCTGAGCAAGTCTTGGCTTCCGAACCTCAAAGGGGTACAGCTGCGAATTGCAAATCTGGGGGACCACAGAGCAGCAGGAAAACAACTGTTACTCAAGGTCACAACCAGCATTTCTGAAAGCATGTTTCCACTGTCCTGGTCAAAGCGGCCTCCAAACTGGCAACATAGAAGGTGTTGATCTGTGTTGTGGTCTGCCAAGGCCAGGCGCTGCGTGCTTCGGACTTCTACTTGTATTGCTTTCCCTATGATGCATACCGTTCACATCCCTCAAACCCGAACTGTGCTGAACGCAAGTCTCCTCATCTTCAAAGAGCTTGGGCCCTGCCGTCGCGGAAGTCAGCAGAAGCGTCGAGCAGCTGGCGCATGGTGCTCGAGCAAAATGCACCGGTGCGGTATACCGTCAGCACATGCAAGAGTGTGACGACCGAACTGAAAGAAGATATCTTGGTTCTGGTGATAAGCATGGGAATGCTGTGTTGACGTTGCGATGGCTTCAGGCAAGGCCTTGCCCTACAGTCCTGCCAGCAAGAGCAGGATGCATGTGACACATTTTAAGGCCTACAGGGTTCCAATCTGCCTAGCAAGTGGCAGCAGAGCATTATCCAACTTGCCAGGGGCAGAAAGAGAGGGGAGTGCATGTGATAGTGCACCTCCATGGTGTACTCATCTAGCAACTAGCAATCACCAAAACGAGCCTTGCGTTTTGTCAACCCCCCGAGCTTTCCAAATTCTCATGCTAACGACATAGTGGACTGCAAGCGAGTGTTCTCTCACGTGCTACCTTCATGCCCGTTGGAGTTGTTTTGCAGCATCTTGTCCTAGCTGCATGTTTCACTCCCTCGGCAGAATGGTTGAAACTCACGAAACTAGTGCACCCTGCATGAGCCTCAGAAGAACCTGCAGATAGTCCTTCAACTTAGGGCAGGCTTTTTGACGTAGCTGTGAGCCCCTTGACTTCGCCCCCACACCTGTACAACAATTGAAAACGACAGCACGCTTGATGCTGCTTTACGAACACAACAGCTGAACCTGCTCGGACGAGCACTGACACAAACAGCGTCTCGCTTGAGAATATTTGCTTACACCTTGCTGATCGAGAGGGCTGCGGACCAAGTCTGACGCTGTTGAGTGGACCAGCAGCAGTTCTGTTGCAGCAGCTGTGTTCGTTCCCTGGTCTTGCGGACCCTGCCACTGACTCCGGCTAAGTAGACAGAGCCACCTAGGTTCAGCACCCCAGTCCGCTCCAGCATTTGATGCCTATATGGCTCGTAACAAAGGCTAGTGGACAAAATAGTGAAGCCCATCTGTATAAGATATGCAGAATGCCCCAGCGTCATGGCTACCGGCTTGCGGCAATGGGCTACAACGATGCATCTACTTCCCTCCCGAAAGCCTTGATGTCAAGGCTCACAGCGCCGTTCACTGGGCCTTTGAGCTTCTGCTTCCGAGGGGCCTCGCCTGGGTGCGTTCGGAGTTCCAGGTCTGAGGCGCGTTTCCTCCTGACTACATACAACTAGCGAGAGAGCCTCTTGGACGATTGGTCAGATTTTGCAGGAATGTGAAACCAAACCGACTCTTTGTCTGTCATGCGGTCCAGAATAGGCAGGCATTGTGCGACCTGCGACTGCCTAAACCCTACACCCTGCACACGCTTGAACGGCGCATGCCAAACAGCACTCGATCCCTCCCACAAGCCTGAAACCTCTACATGACAGAAAGATCTTGAAGCAAACAGCTGCAGCCGACCTAGACTCGGAAGCCTTTTCCTCACCAGCTGAAACATGCTGAGGCAGGTGCCCCATGCTAATCAAACATGATCAAACATCGAAACCCGTAGGGCACACCAACACATGCCGAATGCAACACAGTTCTCAATACAGCTACCGTTGGCAGGTAGCTGGCGCCTGATGAAGCAGTCGCCTGCTCCTTGCGCTTCATGGGGCAAGAAGCACTGCATCTTCTGCACCGGGCTAAGTGAGAGTTTATGAATGGAGTTGCACTTATGGTTACGAACCATGGGGTATAGCCTGGCTGCGCATAGCATGAGTTCTTGGCTAGGTTTGGTGAGACATCAGTTGCACGCCGGCGCCATCTTCGTGCTGTAACAAGCGTGAAAATTATGAAAAGTTTGCTTCAGATAGCCAACACACACACACCGCGAATCCTTGCTCTGACGCTGCTTCGCGAAGGATACAAGCCAGTGCTTGTTCTTCTCCACGACTCCGTGCGCAGATTCAGGGCTTGGCCAGGCCATACCTCCGGGTCAAATTTCTGAGAAGCTAATTAAGGCTGGTGCAAGCTGTCTGAAGCAGCCATCGAAAGAAGAGCAGGCAACTCTATATCCTCCACATGCTTACATGTTGACGCACGACCGCATCATGTCGTTGCGTGTCTCGACTTGTTCCGCTGTCTTGCTGGCAGATAGCCTTTTGCAGCAGCATTGCGGCTGACTTGGCTCTCGATGAAACTCACGAAGTTGGGGGCCTCCTGGCAGGCAGACACATGCGTTGGCGTGGCTAGACACTACACCGACCCCACACAAACTGGGGCGATCCTCAAAATGAGGAGTCCCGTTCTGGGGCGCCCTCTCATAAGGATCATAATCTGTTTTGGTCTGTATTGGGCCCCCCCATCGGAAACTACAACCTCTACTGACTCTACTGGGCGCAATAAGGACAAACAAACCATACACCCTACTTCGAGGTAGTTGGGGGTTTTGGTAGGGTCCCAGGTTGGATTTCCCAAAACTCCAGACCCACAAGATCTCAAGAGTCAGCGGCTCCGGAGCGCACGAGACGAACCATGAACCACAAACGAGTGGATTGTTTTCTAGTACGGTCTGGGCATCACAAGAACAGCTGTGCTACTAGTAGTCAGGTGAAAATGTTGAGCTCACAATTTGCATGCACATATTGTTTGCCAAGCGCTGTTCACTCTTGTGGATGCTGCGTCCTTTAAGGTGCAGGGATGCACTGAGTAGCAGCATTTGCTGCCGCTCGATGTCCATATGCCATGCGTCGTTTTTCAACTTTGGCCTCTCTTCAAAAGCTCCGAGCACTTGTGGGGTCTGGTGTACTGCAGCATCCGCAACATATAATCTACAGTCTAAACTCCCAGTATCCCCCTTGATAACCTCTATATCACTCCCCTATATAATCTCCTATATAACCCCCTTTAAGGAGTTTAGACGCTAGCTCATATAAAAACTTCAATTCCTGAGAGAACTCGACCAAGCACTACTAGAACCATAGCCCATGCAAGAGCCGAGCCTGGTAACCCTTGTGTCAGAACTTGCTATCTGAGCTTTAGTCTAAAAAATCCTTAAAGGGGGTCATTTAGGAAATTATATAGGGGAGTATTGTAGGGATTGCTAAGACGGATACTAGGCTTAATACGATATCTCATCTCTGAAGATGCAATCCTGAGGTGCCCGTGCACCGAGTACTCCCTCTTGCCCTGTGCTACCCTTCTCGAGTCCTCCAGCACGGATCGGAAGTTCTTCATGCGATTGCGACCAAATCTGACCACAAAATATTCACCATATTGCTGGAAGAACTTTTCGCCAATCTTGGCAAGGGCAGCTTCATCATCCTAAGTTCCACTCGTTTGCAACGCCCTATCCACAAAACCAAACAGAATCAAAGAGAAAAACGTTATACCAATCCCGACTATCCAAGTGTTAGTCGTCTTGCTACTGCCTCAGCTCTTCGCTGGGAACTGTCCAGGGCCACAGGGCTCTAAAGTAAGATGCTGGCTGAGCATGGCTGCAAGTCCTGCCTGGGTCGCTTTAATCTGCTGAAGGCGACAAAGGATGGTGATAAAGACTGCCATGAGAATGCTCTGACAAATTCACGCCAAACACATTGCAAAAGATGTGCTTCTTTACCATGTTTTACTTCTTCTCTGCGGGGCACCCTCCCAACTTCCAGAAGTTCGGGAGCATTTTCGCGAAGCCAAACCTGAGCTGCAGCTTCCGGCACGATCCTAGAGGCACCTGGAACTTGTTTGATAGTACATCCCAGGGTCATAAACCTCATGTGTGAAAATAACTCTCCTGATCCTACAACTCCGTTCATAACCATCCATAAGGCGACAGGTAAGGACGACATTCTGAATGTCAACTGTCACAGCAGAGCTGCAACATGTGCAATGCCAGCAGATTGCTTACAAGCTTCTTGGCCGTCATGTCTGCAATTGCCACTACAGAGTCACCCAATCGGACCCCATCTGCTGAAGCATCGCTTGCACATCGAAGTGGATCATCACATGCAACCTCCCTCCAAGTTGGCTGACAAAAGGCATGCCGCCTCACGCGGGTATGGAGAAACTTCACACAAGCATCAGCACAGGCATGAAAACTGAGCCGAACCCCAAATAGAATGAAACAAGCGTCGTAATACGAACCCCAAATAGAATGAAACCAGCGTCGTAATACGTTAGGGCAATTCCTCCATCAACATCAATAGGTTTTGTGTTGTAGGAACTGCAAAGGCAAAGGCGGCAACCCACAAGCATCAACATCTGCACAGGGTCAGACACGTAAGCGCCCTGGTGCAACTTAGGTGCGGCCACCTCTGCAAACCTTTTGCACAAGGCCTGGCGTCACAGACAAGGCATAAGCACGGACAGCTGCTTCCAACAGGTGTGCCAGCAAGCTCAGCGGCCTGTGGTTGATCTAAGACGAAGCAGCACCATCGTGGATCCTTACTCTTGATCTTGGCAGCTAGTGTAAAGGGTCCCAAGCTCACTGCATACGCAGTTGTGGCTTTGCTGTTCGGGTTGCGGTTGCTTTTGTTGCTTCCAGCGCATCAGCTGAAGATATCACTCTGGATTTAAGTTGCGCGCTGTGCAATGCGTGTCCTTCTCTTGGTCAGCGCAGATCATGCAAACGGGCAAAGTACAGATGCTCAATGCTTTGCGCTGCGAACAAAGTATAGACAACTTGAAGGCCGCGTCCCCTCGAAAAAGCCACCTGCGTCTTCTCTTTACTAAGGCCCACCGGATGCCAACTGTTCAAGAAACTTCTGGTGGCTAGCAAGTTTGCGCATTGGTGGTGCTGCAGCCGCATAGACAAATCCCAAAGTTGAGCCCCTGTGCAGCCGGTATCGTCCAAGGCACCTCCGCAACAAGCTGAGGAAGTGGAAATCCGCGGTGCACGCTTTTGAGGCGTACCAAAGGAATCTCCTGCATCAAGGGCCTAAACCGCAAGGCATCTGAAGAAACAGCTAAGACACCCTGCAGCGTGTCCAATAGAAGCTGAGATTGGCTTATTGTATTGCAACAGCATGCACATGGCTGCAAGGCCGGCTTAACGGCATCTGGCCCCCTGAAGGCTTGACCTCATTCTTCCCCAGTATTCTCTGGCCACACAACTCCTTGAAGTGTGGGGCACGTTTCATGATCCAGGCAGCTTGCTCTCGGATTTCAGCCGAGGCGTTCTCGTCCTCGCGGAGGCGAATATCATCAAGACCTATGTCTCGGAGCTTGAGGCCTTATACATGCCTTGTTATGCGAGGCAACTGCTGACTTGCAGTGAATAGGAATGAGAAGGGGACTCTCTGGAAGACGAAGATTCCCGTGGCAGGGACAGCTACAGCCAAGACAATGGATTCAGGGTCACAATAAATCCCCAAGCAACACTTTTTGCCCGTCAACACCCCGAACACATGTGAGTATTCCAGATGAGCGTCGGCTTTTGTATATTACATGGGTCTTATGCGGCCTGTTTCATCCACAGCACTTCATCTTGCTTGCCTTCTATTCGATCTTGTATTGTACCTTGACAAAATCACCAGACCTTGTTCGCCATGCTGGAATATGTACTGGACTCTTATCGCAAAGGAAACTGCCGCCTATCTTGTTCAATCAACCGCGCTGCACGCATCTATTTCCCAGAGGCGCACTGAACCCAGATGAAAAAATGCCAACGCGCCCAGCCTTCTACACTCTTACGCGAACAGATGCGGCTGCTCAGAGAATTAATGGACATGGGTTCCTGATTAGGGACTTTATTAGGGCATATACTAAACTATAAGAGGGATCCCTATGTCCATTGTTCAGGGTTCCTTCATGACCTTGTATTGACAGGTGGTTATGTAAAAAGCGAATGAGCTCTGTCCTCCGCTGCTCGCAGAATCCATTGGCAATAGCTCGGATCTTCGGTCAGGAGCGCGGAAAGCGGCTTGCCATTGTTCAGCTTGCCTACCAGGACCAGCGCGAAGGCAGTTCCACAACACATTGGGGTTTGACAAAAGCACACTGAAGAAAACGGACGGGGACGAATCCACACCAGCTATTGCCACTCAGCGACTACCAAAAGCAACACTGCACTGGCAGCTGTCGGAGCGTTGTTTGACGCCAGAAGGCCCCACATACTCGGCCAAGCTGAGATCCACAACACGGTATGACCGAGTCTAGAGAAATACTGAATATATCCGATTCCTCAGGCTATCCGTCACAACCCTGAAGCCACTACCCA